CGTCTAGATATCTCGGCCTGACATCATAAAGCTCCAGCGGCGGCCTCTCGCACACAACGCCAACGGCAAGGAAAAGAGTGTCACTAAATAGCATGGCGATGAGATGGGAGTGTTAATTAAAGAGAGAGAGAGGTTAGGTTAGGTTAGGATGACGATGAAATGGCTGGGGGGGAGTTATAAAGTAAAAAGTGGTTGCGTTTACAAGGAGCTTTGTGGATGTGAATGGAGGGACGTGGAGGCTGATTGATGTAAAGGGGCAAAAGTATTACGTAAAAGAAAAGGTAAAAATTTAAGGTGGAAAAATGGAAGGGATACTGAAAATATGAAGTAAAGAGAGAAGGAAAGGGGAAGAATCAAAGGGAGAAAGTAAAGGAAGAAAACACACCTATCATAAACACCTGAGTTCTGGTACATCAAGTTACATTGTACAAGAAGGTTTTAAAATCAGTGTCTCGAAAACATTGAACCTCTGATATGAACCCTTGAGTCATTGTCTTTAAAGGATGCAGTTACCTTAATGGATATCTATAAAACTAATATTGTGGTTTTAATTTCCTCGCTCACCCCCAAGAGTACACAGACCTGTCATCTTTATCGGAACAACTGTGTGTTAAGGGTACAGTTCTCAGAGGGGTTAGGTTATCAGACCCCCGTTGCTGAGTCAATATTTTCTGAAGGTCGAAGCATCATTCTATTTGTGAAAGTCAATCGTACTCGCAAAGTCATTTCATCGTACTCAAATGGCTACACTGGAGTACTCAAAATTTCGTACGTACTCAAAAGTCTATGTCATAAAATTATAAAAGCTAAGTCATTGTATAAGAAGGTATACTTAGCGTGCTTAAAAGCTAATTCTCGTACCCAGTAGTTGAACCACCATACAATTAGGTCAAATTCATGTAATAAATTTCCAACCTTTGTAATAAATCATAAATTTGGACTTGCATATCAAAAACTGCAACCCTACCCTACCCTACCCTACCCTACCCTAACCTAACCTAACCTAACCTAGAATAACTTATACGAAATATGACAAAGTACTTACCACATACGCTTCTGTCTTTTTGTTTCTTCATCAGTTGACTTCCACAGATGTTAATTTAACCTGTAAAAAACAAATCAGTGTCAGAAACATTTACTACAGTCTGCTCGTTGAATCAAAAAATGTACAAAAAACTATCAATGATTAAGGTCAATAATCCCGCTCGGGCATATTTCAGGTACCAATGTCTAGTAATACAAATAAATACAAATTATGCAAGTTTCTTTAATATAACTTATTAGACCATTTTTTGTATTGAACCAGTTGCCTGCTATTATCTTAACATTATAATGGAGATATTTGCCAAATTTTATGAAGAGGTTAGAAGCAGTCGAATCACAAAATTTAGGGAATATATTAAGAATCCAGCTATTTTTTATAGTGTATTTGTGAGTGTGGATGACTGCCATATTGAAATAAGAGCGCCACAGGAATTGTTATATTCATTTATTCACCTTACTCCAGCTACTGATCACATTTCGTCTGTATAAACCACTTATACTCGGCCTATATACCTCACTCAAATACTCATCATACTCAGGCTGTAAGTACTCATAATACTCGTTGTTTATCCATCATACTCGCTCTATATATGCCATCAAAATAATCTACAATTCTACCTGACTCACTTTTTAACTCCCCAGAGCACGCCACACTATATGAACAGCTGCGAAGGGTTCCACACACCTTGAATTCCCTGGTCCATTCTCTCTCCTCTTATCACACACATATTCCCATCATTAAATACAGACTCCTTGGTGCGCACTTCATGGGTTATTTGGGTTGGGGTGGTTCAGAGATATTGAGGTGTTTGTTTTTGGATCATATCTATATACAGACGAGATGTTAAGCGTCTGTCACTTGAGCCAGAAATTCTCTCTCTAACCCAGGTGAATTTTTTTGTACGTCGATTAGAGGTTGACAATATGAATTTAGTGGTTTCTTGGGGAGCTCTACAGACACAGTATTAAAATATCTTGTACGTTCATAGGCTTGAAAACAATATCGTGTCAACTCGGAACACCTGAGATGATCCCTTAAAATCTAACCTAACCTAACCTAGACACTCTCACATACACGGCTCTCTCCCCCACTTGCTCGTTACTCTCTTAAAAGACACTCTCAATACATGACTTTCTTTGCATGCTGTAGAGTAAAAGTTGTCTCACTGCTGGTCTTTACTTACTCGGCATACACTTACATTGAATCTACATATGCTATTGAATATGTACTTCCTAACAACATCTCATTTTCTTTAATCCTTATTTCCAGAAGTTTCGCAAATTTAGACAAAATTACAACTTCAAGCGTTAGTATTTCATTTTCTAATTCACTTCAAAACGATCCCTTAACCTTTTCTTCCCTGTCGTTTGTATAATGCGTGATATTATTACAGTCATGCTTACTTCAACCCCCTTTAACTTATGATTTCCTACACCTCCGACTCACCTGCTTGTATTCTCACATTACCTAGCTTTTATTAGTAGGTTCCCTAACTATCTATGTATCAGACACCATCTCACACTACCCACGCAAGTCTAAAGAAAATTTTTTAGTTTCCTTTAATTTTTTTTGTTTATATAATGTAACTACCGTGTTTAGGGTCGTTACTTTATATGAGACTATCTCCTCTTGACTTTTTATCTTATCATACTTCCAGAAAATAAATAAAATTAAGATTATCTCTATTCATGGTAGGCATGTCTCCCACTGAAAACTCAATTTTATCACAGGATGAAAAACAAACGTCCTTATCAGTGTTGAAATACAGGAAAAGTATTTTCTGTTTATTCATTACTCTCTAAAGGTAATTAGTATTCCACAAATTGATAAATACTGCGATACATAGCCTAGGATTTAACTGTAGTTAAAATTGTGTGTGTGTGTGTGTGTGTGTGTGTGTGTGTGTGTGTGTGTGTGTGTGTGTGTGTGTGTGTGTGTGTGTGTGTGTGTGTGTGAGTGTGAGTGTAAGAGAAAGGTAAGGTAATCTTACTTATATCAGGCACCACTGTTGCCCCCCGCCTCACTGGTGTTCGTTTAAACAACACACACAGCTACGGGTCAACGTGTACGTAGCCTCTGCTATGAAAGACGGGTCTACGCTACTGTACAGTACACTACTACCTCGGGTGTATGCCAACGCTAATCATAATTCCACAACAGACTTAAATAGCTTCTTTACTGTAAACTTTATGATTATGAATGAATATACGTTATTGTACATTACCACTGCAGTATTCTACTATTGTGTACGGTCTAGGTGAATCTCTATTGGAGTTTCAACCACAATGAATGAAACTACAATACTGCACACTGCCACCGCTGTTAAATTTGTACAGTAGAGTACTGTACACTCTGTCACTCTATGAGTGAGTCTACATAACAGTACAGTGCATCACCACATTGCTAATACGGTACACAAATAAATCTCTACTTAATGGTATTATGACTCAGCGGCGAAATACATGACTCTGAATGACATGATTTTCAGTCGTATGACCTTGATTGGCATGAGTGAGTGACATGGCCGTGAACAAAGCGAGTGGCTGAGGTACAGGGCTAAAATATGACAGCAAAGTACGGAAAGAGTCGTTCAGAGTTTTATCGAGATGTTGAGATCAAATATCTCGTAAGTCTACACGAGAGAAAGAAAAATAAGATACATTTTGCAAAATTCATTTCATAAACCTACGAAACTGACAACATATAAAAAGATTTCCGAATCCTGACCATTCAGGTGCCGGTCCAGAATGTTAGTACTGTACTTGAATATTTTTATCAGACCGCAAGGCGACAGTCGACAAGTGAAATTTTTATAATAGATACGTTCTTTTATCTTTCCTGGTCACACGCAGCGACATCCTATGTATTTTCAATCTTGTTAAAAGGAACAAGCCATATTGAACACCATCCATTGAAGCAAGTTACTAGATTAACGCTTCGATGCAAGCGTTACAAGCAAAGTCCAGTGACACAGTCTTCTGAGAAGATTCAAGTAGTGACTAATCTCATAGTCATAATGCTTAACGGCCGATGACAACAGCACAAAACATGGGTGTAACAGCAGGCAGACAACAACACATGCTCAAACAAAAGACTTTCACAGACAATTGGCCTTGACAAGGCGGGAAATCTGAGTGTACTCCGTGTGTACAACTATTGTGAAACAGGCGAATAAAAGTTCTTTCATCTTAGCTGACAGGAAGAAAACTTTCATCATTACACTGAAGTACATAACACTATCAATAAAAAAAATGACGTTAGTCGACATTGCTTACAACAGATCTATTTTATTTACATTTAGAGAAAACCTCCCCCAAAATCACATATCGGACGATGTTTCTCCAGGGTTCAAATTTAATGATTGCGAGTAAATTCTTATGTAATTAGGGGTGTACGAAATGTCATTGGGAGCTCAATGAGAGACTTTATATTAGCAAATAGGGATCACATTACCATACTTGTAGAAGCTAGGAATTGTTATTGTAGAAGAGAACCTTTAGAGTACGTAAAAAATGCAACCGACGCGTGTAATTTTGATATCTGGATAAAAAGACACCTTCTCTTCTCTTCTCTTCTCACGTATATTAAGACAGTAATTAAAAGACTTCGTTTTTCAGGTTAGGTATGGGAGTACATATGAAAGAAGTGAGGGTGGAGATTTTATATTGAATGGTGCTACTGATGAGTTCAAGGGTACAATGATCACAATGCATAGTGTTCATGTGGAGGGTTAAGATGCGGTAAGATATCCGGTCAGGAAGTTGCCTTCATGGAACAACCGGAAGTAAAGAGGTGGACACGTGTAGGAAATGTGGTTTGGTTTATAGACACGTGATCATCGTTCGCTTTACTCGAATACGCAGAGGTCGTTATAGCTTACGGGATAAATGAGCGTGAATTTAACACAAAAGAAACAGGTAGCAGAAGAAAGCTACAGATGGCAATGATAAGGTTCCTGGTAACCCCGGGTGGACCATATAAGCGATGGCCGGGACAGAGAGTGTTGACTTGAACCAGCCATGAAGACCCTAGTTCTCTGCCTGCTCCTTGCCGCCGGGGCGCTCGGTAAGTCTCTCAGTCCACATATTCCTATTAATCTAACCTAACTGAACATTACTTTAACTATGAGTGATAACTTGCTCATGGAGTTAAAAAAGCAAAACATTTTAGGTCTAACCGCCTTATTAACCTTTTACCCACACAGCCTCACCCTCGTCCAATGTTAAGCGTCATGCCACAGGTAACGTCAAGATCGTTGGTGGTAATGACACCATGCCTGGCGAGTTTCCCTACATGTTAGAATTTCTGGACCTCGCTTACGGCCCAGGATTTCTTCTCTGTGGTGCAGTCATCTATAATGAAAACTGGGCCATCACCGGTGGTCAGTGTGTCTACGGGCAAGACTTGGAAAATCCTCAGTATCTCCGCGTAAGTCGAAATATTATAATGTGTCTAGTGTTAACTCTACTGTACATTCCATAATAGTAATTTTGTGTTTAAATAAGAGTCTATGAGAAGTATTTATCTTCTATAAACCAAGTTCCAGTATTTATCAGGTGTTAGACAAAAGTGATATGTGTATTAAAGACACCTGTAACATAACGGTAACTTCAGTATATTTCTTAACTTTTCGAAATTTTGAATTAGTTTGTTTATTAGAATAATTAAATTGATTAACAATATAGTAATGTACTGACTAGAAATGAATAGTTTTGCACTAACCTAACCTAACCTAACGTAACTTAGCCTAACTTATGTGTGGCTATGTTATTAAGATAGCGAAGAAGGATATATAAAAAGAAAGTCACTATGAGGGGGTAGGGTGAAGGAGAAGTGGGGGGGGGGGGCATAGACTTGTTTTTCAGTTTAATTATTTAATAAGAAAGTGAAAATAAAGACACAAGATCCTTTTTATACTTTCAGACTGTGGGTATTACCAAATAAACTCTTATCAATTACTGTACAAAGCCTATATCACAATTACCTCTATATGTTAATCTAGCCCTAAGCAATTTCGAAACACTTGCCCTCGTCAACCTGAAATGATGAAACAAGTCAATGTTGTTGAGATAACTAAATTATTACAGGTTGTGGCTGGCGAGCACGATGTGACTGTGGACGAAGGCACCGAGCAGACTGTTGCACTGAAGAGGATCATCCTGCACGAGAATTACAACGGATTCTATTTGTACAACGACATAGCCCTTCTTGAGCTGGCTGAGCCCCTCGAGTTTAACGCCTATGTCTCGACTATTGCGCTTCCGGAGCAGGATCAGCAATCCTCTGGAGATTGCGTTGCCACAGGCTTTGGCACCTTGTCAGAGGGAGGCTATTACGCCAGTATTTTGCAAAAGGTGACTCTCCCTATCGTGTCGGACGAAGAATGCCGCGCCGTCTATGGTGAAGATACGGTTCAGGATAACATGCTTTGCGCTGGTGTTAAGGAGGGAGGTAAAGACGCTTGTGCAGCAGACGCTGGCGGACCACTGGCGTGTGAAAACGAAGGCTCCCGCTACCTGGCTGGTCTCGTGTCCTGGGGAACTGGATGTGCCCGTCCAAACTTCCCTGGAGTGTACACTGAGATATCTTACTTCGTTGACTGGATTAAAGAAAACGCGGTATAAATGGTCACTCAGAGAGTATTATAATATTGAATCTGCATCAATAAAATTTTGAAGAAAAAATCGGTGTTTTATGTCCTTATCATGCACACTGAAACGTGGAAACTGCTAGCACTGATGTTAAATTGAATAATAAAACAATTAAAAGTGATGGTTATTGGAGTAGTAATATTCACATTTACACCACCTATTGCACAACTGTTACTCTGACCTATTGATCACATGATTTATGATTATGTAATGTATAAACGGCTTTAACCAAATATAATAGCTTTCTCCATAAGTGCATTGTTTCCTTCACGGTCAATATCCACCTAACTTACTCAAGTCTCCATAAAAACAGAAAGCACATTCTGTAGGTACTTTTAGAGACAGACACATACCGGATATAACTAAAGGTTGTAAGTGTAGATTCCTATTACGTAACTCTTACCTGATCTGGTTAAAGAAAATCTGTTCATACCATCAGGAGCTATTACATTAACACAACACTCTTATTTTGATGATTTATGCATGCAGTTAATTTGCATAATATTTTCTATTTATAGTCGTGTACCTTCAAAGCTGATACCCGACCACACGATCTTCCAGGTATTTGAGGGCCAGGGAGCTAGGGTGTTCCTTTTCTTTTAGGATCAATTTGGTTTATCTTCATGTCTCCCCGATTTATAACACAATTGCAGAAAGCGCTAGAATCAATTTGAAATTGCCAAACAAAAAACAATCTGGTTTTGTTCTGGCTTGGTGTCAAAGTTGGGACTTCTACCTGGCCTAGATTTTATTCATATACCTGTACACTTTGCAGAGCTTTTAATGGATACATATTTAATCGATATAATTTCTATGTATCGTTCTTTTTTTCATCTTCCGAGCTTCTTCCACCACTTTTTGAATCAGCTGATCATCTCGAAAAAGAATTGAATTATGTTAGTATGGATTCTCGTGGATGTAAACACTTAATAACTATACAAGTTTCAGTTCGTTTCATTAACAGAGAGTCGGATGAAGTGGTAGGAAAACAATATCCCTAATTGATTAAGGTAAAGGTTTAATAACTTAAATTTGTTTCTGCATTTTGTTATTATGCAAAACAAATCAGATAAACTTTTGGTATCCTTTTAAGTTCAAATCATCAAAAGACCTAAGAAAGAGGGACATTAACTTCAATTAAAAAAAAAAAGGCTGTTGAAAGGTTATATATGGTCAGGACTGTTGTACAGATGAGAGGCGTGGACACTTTCAGCGAACACCAGAAAGAGGTTTGAGGCCTTTGAAATGTGGTATTATAGGCGAATGTTAGAAATAAGTTTCACTGACAGGAAAACAAATGAAGAAGTGCTAAGACTGGCAAATACTTCAAGCGAAATACTTGAATTTTACAGAATTAAGGCATATGATATATAGGATGTCCATAAATGATTACCCTGATTAAAGTATGCAAGCATACTGTTTTTAGGGTAATCATTTATGGACACAATGTAGTTAAGTCATATAATTATGGCTGAAGAAAGTATTATAGAAGAGATATTAATGGGCAAAGTTGAGGGTAGAAGGGCCAGAGGAAGGCAGAGATTGGGATGGATGAATGAAATAAATAATTGGGTATCCATAGAGACGCAACATTTCTGAAAATTAGTAAAAACAGCCCGGAAATGTTTAGAGTGGAGGACTATGGTCGCCAACCCTCAGAAATAAGAACAGCCTTTTGCTTCAATGTTTGATAATTATCTTTGGGTACAAACCTTTCGGACTTCCTATACAAATAAACCCTAAATTATTCCAAGCGACATAGGAGTAACGCAAGTCTTGATAAGCGGTGATAAGGTTCTCGGTGATCCCGGCTGTGCCTTCTTGTGGCCGGGGCGCTCGGTCAGCCCTTACTTTGAATTTGTATAATTTTAACCTGAATATAATTATATCAGCTTAATTACAGTCAGCAACAGATACCATGAGTGATCAATATGCTGAGAGTTTAAGATTAAAGTCTATCAGTCCCAAACAAAACATGATCGGATAACAGCCCCGTTAATCTATCCACAGCCTCACCCTCTTACCCGGTCAAGTTCCACCAACTTAATAACTTCAAGATCGTTGGTGGCGAAGATGCAAAGCCCGGAGAATTTCCTTACCAGATAAGCTTCCAGGATCTCACTTATGAAACACCTTTCCCCTTCTGCGGTGGTTCCATTTACAATGAGCATTGGGTCATCACTGCTGGTCACTGTGTCTACGGCGAAGACCTGGACAAGCCTGATTACCTCCGAGTAAGTTTACTGTTATTAGGTGCTTATCGTTTAACTGCGCATATTATTACTGCTTTCTTTCTTGTATTAAACTCTACATTATTAATAAACACTCATCTACTGTGAAAAGTTTCATTGAAATGCTATCTTACTTGGTACAGGGATGTGCACTCTTATATTACTAACATATCTGATTCAGTTTTCGAAGACACTAACACCACCACGATACGGCAAAACAAATACTTCTTGCGACATTGAACCTTGTTTACTCGACAATGAGGAAATATTTTCTATACTGTACCTGTAAATCAATTTCGTTTTTACACGCGTAAAGTATTTTCCAGTGTTAGATTATTTACTTTATATGTTTTGATACGGTTGATTGATACCCTGGCGCTTATTCACAGCTCACTTACCTCCCCGTTTGTCTAATTCAAAAGGCAACCCATTAAGCATCACTACTAAGCTGACTACAGGTCTCGTATTGTACAGTACTAGCAGCATATCCTATCAACAACAGCTTCCTGGTTCGACTTAACAATGCATTAATTCACAAATCACCAAAAGAATGTGAATCATACAACATTGCAAATACTAAAAAAAGGAGGTAAATGTATCACAGGCGTATAGCTAAGATATGTTCTTAAATTTAAGCATTTTATTAAAGTTGTTTGGAGAAAAGCTAACTTCATAATGTCTTTTCTGAAAAGTTAAAAAAAAAATAAAAATGACTGTATTGTAATGAGCAATGTCTTTCGTAAGCTGACCAATTAACATACAGTGTATTCCCCCAATTTATCACAGTATCGTCTATAGACCAATTATTGACAAGCAATTGAAAAAAAAAATCAGATTATACCATTTTATTCGTTTTTACGAAAAAGACGTGAATTTACATCTTTGGAAATTATCACAAATTAATTTTCTATTCTGCAGTTACTTTCGGCCAGTAACTTATGCTATGATTTTACTGCTTTTAAGCCCCAAGTTCATTAAGAGAATTTAGGACACATCTTTAACTATGCAGGTAATCGGTAAGGAAGCTTTAGTAAATATTGTGATTAAGCTTTAGGAATATAAATAAAGAGGAAGAAGCTCAAAATACGTAAAGCTTAAAATTAATAGTTGCAGTTGAAACCGGTAAAAACCTAACAAAATGACGCGTGATGCCATAAAAAATATGACTTAATAACAGGGTGACTAAATTTTTGCAGATTGTGGCTGGTGAGCTCGATATGTCTGTGGAGGAAGGCACCGAACAGCATAGAGCTTTGAAGAAAATCGTCCTGCACGAAGAATTCAACGGATTCTATTTATACAACGACATTTCCCTTCTTATGTTGAGTGAACCCCTAGAGTTCGACGACTTCGTCTCGGCCATTGAACTTCCAAAAAAGGGTCAGGAATCCTCTGGTGACTGTGTTATCACAGGCTGGGGCGCCTTGGAAGAGGGAGGCGCAGACCCCAACATCTTACAGAAGGTGTCTATCCCTATCATGCCAGACGAAGATTGCCGCGCTGACTATGGCGAGAGTGAGATAACTGATTCCATGATCTGCGCTGGTATTCCTGAGGGAGGTAAGGATTCCTGTCAGGGTGACTCTGGTGGACCCATGGCTTGTAACAACGAAGACGGCTCCCGCTACCTGGCTGGCGTCGTGTCCTGGGGAAATGGATGTGCCCGTCCAAAGTTCCCTGGAGTTTACACTGAGGTGTCTTACTTCGTTGACTGGATCGAGGAACATACCCAATAAACAAACTCTCAGATAATGTTTTGGTATAAATTCTACGTTAATAAAGTTAAGAAAAATACAATGATTTGTATCTTTGTCATGTAATGTGCTGTACAGTACATCGAAGTCGACCAGGAGATACTGTAATTATTTTGCTAGTTTCAGCTTTAAGTGATAAATAATCCCTATTTACACCATGTTATGCAGAAGTCTGATCTATTAAATTGATCAGTTGATTTTTAGTACTAGAAATTAAACTTGACCTTTGACCTTTGGCCAAAATTACAGGAGTTCATCTTTGGTCAACATCCAATAAACCAGCTAAGTTTCATTAACATCAGCAGAAGAAACGTTCTTTTTACAGGCAGAAAGATACAAGATACAAGTTCAAACCAAGCCAATTAACTACACTCCTTCACCCTCCGGATCACGGTTTAATACATTCTGAACGAAGAATGATTGTTAACATTAAGTTGCAGTTAAGTTACATTTGTGTATCATATTATTACGATAGTATATCTATATACATGGGAGCTTTCATAACAACTGGGGCTCTCACGAAGTATCTGGATTTTTATGAACTACCGGAGGTGACCTAAAATACCGAAAAATTATTATTCTACTGAGGCATTTGTGAATTCGAGGTTCAGAATGATCGACCCAAACGAATGTGGGTCTCACATACCTGACGACCTGTTAGGGGGCATAATGGATACAGCAAACTGAATACTAAACATTCGGTACACTGCGAGGTAGTATGACTGGCACTGCACTCGAATTCCTTCCCTTCACCGATTGTAAAGGCAGGTACCCATTCACATTTGGGTGAAATGGGAATGTCAGAGGCATTTCAGACAAGATTCGAGAGCTGTATCCACTCGGGCACCGCACCCTAAATTAAGAAGTGTCAACATGATGGATAAAAGATGCCGACATTGTTGGAAGGAAAGGTGAAATAACCATATAGTCCACACTAATCAGTTTACTTAACATAATATCTGTTGACGATGTTTCTAACACTAATGTTGCAAACATTTTCGTGTAATTTTCACACCCCTGTATCATTCTGCAAATTTTCATACTGTATATTTTGATGTAGTGTCCATATCATGGTTTATTTATAAATGAAAACTAACTTCGCAAATATACCTGTTGCTCCGAGTGGTTCCATTCACCGAGATGTTAGTTGTCTGGCTAAACACAGTGGGGAGGTTTAAGTATACTGACGTTATTAATTTATTATCTGAGCCTAACAGAACCTGTCTATGACTAATCTGACCTTGACGAAATAGTATAACCTAACCTAACTTAACCGGAACAAAAATAATCTAACAAAACCAGAACAAATAAAACTTGCCCTAACCTAACAAACCCAACCTAGTTAAGGCGGACATAATTAACCTAACCTACCTTCAATCAAGTGCCAGTTCAGTTTTATTTTCATTCAGTTAGTGGGAAAAACGGCTTATCGTAACGTGTTTTGTGTAGGCATTACGTCCAACTGTGTACGAAACAGTCACCCTTCAAAAGGATTTGTGTACGAAGCGTCCCCATTCCAATATAAATATTCTCCACACGTTAAAACAAAAATAATAAGGCTCTAATAACAACGAACATTGAAGCAATAGCAAACTTTGTATACATGAAAATAGTTACAAATTACGGTGACGACAACACTTAACCCATTTACAAATCATACAAGTCATGCAGGTCATATGTAGGCTACTAGTTATTGCCAGTAAAGGCTGTGGGACCTGTGAGAACGTCTGCCCTCGTGGGAACTATGGGTAGTGAGTGTGGAAAGGGACCTTCAGGGTAGCCCTAAATATGCTTTACTTTGTTGTTGCTGTTGTTGTTATCTATGAAAGTAATTCAACGACCTGAAGACTTTATGCTCTATTCGTTCATTAACTAAGTTTTTACACAAGCGGAAGTTAAAAAAAAATTGACTCGCTAAAATTGTGCCTGTATAGTATACCGTGCTAGCCTATTACCAGAAATACCAGTGTAGTCACATCAAAGTGAACATTGTACCGAGTTTTTCAGCAACATTACAACCAAGCACGGCCAGGCCACTTTATTTACGTAAAATGGGTGAACGTTTTTTTTCGTGAATAAACTACCCTTGTCTGATGCCAGCAGGGATGGTTTTTATTTATTAATAGCAATAAAACATAATTTCTATTTCTAGATCAATCAGTAGGAAAAAAAATTATATTCAAGTAGATGTAACCTCGATAAAGAATGATTGATATGTGTGAGAACAATTTATTATCAGTTCACCCAATGAAGGGTAAAAATTTAGACTAAAGCGTTTATAATCTTCTTGTTTACGTCACATTATTATTACTGTCATTCAACATCCAAGGTCTTTAAGCGTGTAAGAAGATAGTAATTATTACACTAGTTCATCAACACTGAAAAGTTATGAGATAAAACTTACTGGAAGTCCCCAATAGATATTATCATACTTTTCGGACAAGACATATAAATGTCAAGTAATACCACTACTACTACTACTACTACTACTAATAATAATAATAATAATAATAATAATAACAAAACATTCAGTATACCATTAATATCAATAATGGTATTAGAAGCCACATACATTCACCTGTTCCCCACGTGCCATGAGCTCCTCCCATGTTTGTATATAAACATGAAAAACATAGCAGTAATCTTTCCTAACTTTAGCACTGTACATAAACAATAATTGTGAGGGTCAAGTCTTATTAAAATAAAAATAATATAACTTAAAAGGCATAGTGCAAAAAAAAATATATAATAAGAAAACAAATACGTATTGTGATGTAATAAGGGAAAGTCTCTCACAAGGTTAATGGTGCAATGCGTATTTAAATAACGAAAACAGCAATATATGGACGCAACTTTTAATATTTTTTTGCCTTACGCCATACTATTTCATTCAGCACAAGTTTATTAACTAACATTAGGCATTAAACTGAAATAGTCAGTAGTATAAAACAAAACAAATTACAGTATGCAAAAATACTAAAGCCACACAACACATGTAATCAACACACTAAAATACAGCACACACACACCACTACATCGGTAGCCTCAACGTATATGTAGTTATTCTAAATTTTAATTACTAACTATTTGTCGTCACCTGCAGCTTCTCCTCCCACACAACACGTTAAGAAGGAGTTTGTTTTCTTAAGTAGGAACGAAAATAAAAGACTTGTCAAAAGTTTCTGTGAAGAGGACAGACACGTGTCAGAAGCACCAGAGGTAACTAACTTAAAATTAAACTTCAAGGAAAAACAAGGTTAACTGGTTGTCTTATATCCTTCATTCATGTCGGGGGTGACCGAGTGGACAACTCATCTGCCTTGAACATGTGTGTGGGCGGAGGTGGGGTGGGGTGGGGTGGGGTGGGGTGTATACTTAGTCTTCGGGACTTGAGGAGGCAACATGGCCAGTACTGCTCTTGACTGCATTCACTTTGTAAATAAAATTAGGTATCCAATACAGCTGTGTTGACCCACCGTCCCACAAAACACTAGGCGAGCACTGTATCCACCCAGCTACTGAATACCTTATAACAAGACTGTGTAACAAGTGATAAACCGATAGCAGAAGTGTGACATTTGGGTCGTAAAGATGATGGGGAAGAGTTAGCATTAGGATGACGAAATTGGTACAGCGATAGAGTGCTAAAGGTAACAGCAAATTAATTAATATGATAACAAGAGGTACAGCAGTGAAATAACCCGAGAGCTTAAATACAAGGGACAGCTGTAACAATAGTTCTGTATGTCACTCACTAGGTTGGGGCTTATCATCTAGTACCCATAGTTTGGCCTCAGAACGTATGTGTGCTAATATTATTGGGTTTCGTCGAAAGGATAGAACTTTGTACAAAAACTTGCCGAGTTCCATGACTTAAGGGTAATGCGGACACATGACACTCCGTCCTGGTGCTGACACGGTGATAATTACCTTCACGGCTCGAAACAGTTGCATGATTTAATATATTTATACCTTTATTCTGTTCTCCTGGTTGTTCATTATTAAGTATTTGCATTAATTTTTTAAATATTTGCCACACCAATGTAAAAATCCTGTGCCGGTCTTTATATAAATACTCGTGTTATTCCTATTTATTAAGAGTAGGAAGCAGCCGACATCAATAACTGAGAAGTAATACTGATTCATATTCTATGTTCCCGAGTCGATTCTTGTTTATATTTTAATAAGAAAAAAAAACATCAACAAAGTTTATGACCATAGTTTCTTTCCACAACAAACTGTAACAAATGTGAGGAACGATAAGATAGTGACACTGAGATAAGAGGTTACCGGTTAGGCCATCGAACAAGAGAGGTTAAAGGTGTATGAGATATTATAAGGGCGAGCATATGGTCTGTGCATATCATAATACGACACAGAAAACATCTACTGTAGTTATTGGTAGAAAGAAAACATATACTGTAGCGTAGATGTTGGTAGAAAATATGAAGATATTTTTTACCATTTACCAAACTCACAAAGAGATAAGGCTTGTGGTAACCCAGGGATAGCCGGTATAAATGGCAGTTGGGATCTTTGTCAGAGAACAGCCATGAAGACGATTGTACTCTATCTGTTCCTTGCCGGGGCGCTCGGTAAGATCCGCCTTCGCTCTTTCTTCTCAATTTTCTAAACTTGCTTTATCGTGTATTGAACATAGCATCAGCTTGAAAAAATCTCCATCAAAGAATTTCAATATTCTAGTCACAATGTTTAACGTGGAGCCAAGCATCACATCATACTCATGAACTTTCCTGCCCACAGCCGCCCCGTCACGTAGGATCAGGTTCCGCGAAGGTAACTACAAAATAGTAGGTGGAACTAATGCCACGCTTGGTGAATTTCCTTACATGCTAAGCTATCAGGACATCTCTTACGGCGTGAATTTCCACTTATGCGGTGCTTCCATCTACAATGAAAATTGGGCCATCACTGCTGGCCACTGTGTTTATGGTGAGAAATACGACAACCCAGATTATCTCCGAGTAAGTCCTTATCATATTAGTTAACTTATAGTTCCCAAAGTCAGTAACTGTTCAAATAATGCGTAATTTTTCTGTTTAGTGATACTTTAATTTATGAATGTCATCTGAAAAAGTTTAGTGCATAGGCTTTGCACCTTGTGCACAATGCAATATATTGATGTCAAAGATACTGTAACTATGGAACTCCGTCAGGTCGTGGCTGGTGAGCTCAACTTGGAAAAGGATGAAGGTACAGAACAAGGTATTGTTTTGTCAAAACTTATCTTACATGAGAATTTCGATGATTTCAACCTCTACAATGACATCGGCCTTCTTAAGTTGTCCGAGCCCCTTAATTTCAACGAGTACGTCAGTGCCATTGATTTACCTGAGAGAGAGTATACAGCCACTGGCGACTGCATACTGACAGGCTGGGGCTCATTAAGTGAGAATGGCAAAAGCCCCGATATTCTGCAGAAGGTAACCATCCCTATCATGACAGACGAAAAATGTCGCGCCGACTATAGCCAAACTGATATTCTAGATAATATGATTTGCGCTGGTTATGAAGGAGGAGGTAAGGACGCCTGTCAGGGTGACTCTGGAGGACCTATGGCTTGTAATGACACTGGATCGACCTACCTGGCTGGCATCGTATCCTGGGGTGCTGGCTGTGCCCGCCCACACGCGCCAGGTGTGTACACCGAGGTGTCACATTTTATTGACTGGATCGAGAAACACACGCGTTAACTGATCACTCTTAGAATGTTGTTAAATTAGGTCAATGATTGATACCAACAAATCTGTTTTTATAAAACTGAAATGGTTTGGTAAAACTAATTTCGTATATGAATATATTCATTATACTTAAATCTCTAAGCGTGTAATGTATCTAAGCTATTATTGAACATCAACCATTAATCTCAAAAACAACTAAATAAAATCATTTTGTGTTTTATACATCACACAAATTTTAAGAATAAAGGGACATTATGAATTATTTCTATTAACACACCAAACAGAAACACTGAATGGAAGTCAGCTGAATGTTATACTCCTGTTGGTGGTACTGTATGTATTTTATTCATTATAATTTAAAAAATACCACAGAATTTAATTTCAATTTAAAGATGATCATCGTTAACATCAGATTCTTAGGACACAGATAAGATTAATTTATCAGACACACCAAGCCAATGTGCAATTGAGTGAGAGGTAGTTCTTAGAAATACTGAAGAAATGTACAGTAACAAGCCTCGCCAAGTTTTATCAGCTCGGTTTGCTGAAAGCTTTATCACAAGCCATTCAGTTAAATAAAGAAATTAGGACGAAAGGCATGAACAGTAGATCGTTTGTTCTTATGTGCAAATTATTTCGGCAATATAAGTAAGGCTGATCGCTCACTACACCTACACGAGGTGAATAACAAGAATAGGATCTGACCAAACTAGAAAATAAAAATATTTAATATCTCAACGCAATAATTTTCTACAGCGAGATAATAAGAAGATATTACTCATTATAATTTAGGAATTTTTTGTTTGTTGTTAGTATAACAAAGATTTTGTAACTATGAATTCGGTTAATGAAAGAGAAACATTGGATAATAACAATAATGGTAAATTTATTGTACAAATAATAACAAGCGATAATGTTTATTAGATGTTTGGGAACAAATAATAATAATATGTAAGCTTCCCAGACAGTTGTTAAACGACACATGCAGCTGAAAGATAACTCAGGTTTACATGTGATAAGATAACCTGGTACCTGTGTCTACAGTCAGCCCAGAAACTAACTCATTATAACAATTTCTCATATTCTCTTACACTTTCGTGATGCCTTTTGTTATTTACGTATTTTACAAGGAATTCAGGAGTATTCAAGTATGGAGGTTCAAGATGAAAGTGGATACGCACACTCACTATAGTATACTAAGCCTTCGGTATGACGAGTACTGCACTGGGCCACCTTCATGTATCTAACGATATTAGTTAAGTACCTCTATATAGCTGAGTAGATGGGGGAGGGGAGGGGGTGCCCAAAGAAGAAACCAGAGACGCTTAAGACAGGACGGGAGTGCGGCCGTCGAAACCCAATTAGACCTTTACTTAGCTTATAGCTCTACTCTTAACTTACTATCTTACTTTTATTTACTATTGTATCTTTAATTACTATGTTATATTACTTATTAGTTTTCTTTTACGCATTTATTCGCATACATCGTTGACCAAAAGGTAAAATTCTTATATATAACAAACTCAAATTTTCCTTGTGATTTTTAAACTAACACACACAAACACACACACACACACACATATATATATATATATATATATATATATATATATATATATATATATATATATATATATATATATATATATATATATATATATATATATATATATATATATATATATGTATAGTAAACGACAACACGTCTTCAACATGATCTTAACATGAGTCGCCATAAATCCCATCCATTTTCTTTCTGAACAACCCGTTTTGGTCATGGCACTGAATCAGTCTCTATTTTTTTTCACAGCCTTTCTTTTTCTTCTTCTATCTATTTTTTTTCACATTTCCTCTGCTTACTCGTTCCTACACTTCTGTTATTATGTCCTAACATCATTCCTCTTCCTCACGCCCAGTGGTCATAACCAACACATAAGCTAGTAATCCTGTTCGCCCACCATCTCCTTCCTCCCTTACTACAAATATAAGGAAGTGACGATTATAGATTTGACATCTCAATTTTCGTTCACATTTTGAACTCCCCTTCCCTCATCCTTCCCTCTGAATTATATAACAAAACGTGTCCCTCTTGGCAATCGTATCATTGGCAGGCCAGATGGGAGTCACCATTAACACGGGCTGCTGGAGGGGTAGGAAGGCAGCCCTCGTATTTCTTCACCTGAAAAGATTCAATTTTCGTCGGCGGAAGATTGCTAGGTTTTGACACCGGGGTGTTGAGGCGCCTCCTAGCTGGTGTATATTAGGATCATATCCTCTGGGAGGGAGTTATGTAGGGTGAGTATTCCTGGAGTGTGTTATATGAGAAATAAATATTATCGTAAACACACACATAACGTATATACCTGTATATACATATTTTTTTACATATTACATTAATCATCTCCATAATCTCTCTTTAACTCCGTACATTTTTTAAAATTTATTCGTAGTCGCCACACTGTAAAAACCTAGGTCACACACACACACACACACACACACACACTCTCTCTCTACTGGAATTTCCAGCCATACGCAATAATCTTTTTATCACTAAATATCTCCCTTTGAATTGTTATAATTTCTCTGCTTTTCAAAATTTTTTTATGATATTCCAGTCCCGAGTTAATACTATCAGCTTTGAACTAATATTTATATCTGCCAAGTTTTCTGTCTCATCACGTATCTAAAACAACTAACAACTAATAAATTTACCTTAAGCTTTCTCTTTGCTTCAGTAAACAAGACGCAACAACTCGCGTCGGTGTTGCATCCTTGTGAGTATCGCCCCTGCTGCTAATAAGTAAATTTCTCCTTTGGCGAATATCAACTAATGTCCTCAGAATCTACAGTAAATTTAACTGGTACAGATACTGAAACATTCCCCATGGTCTGGCCATCTATACCAATTCAGTTTACCCTAAAAGTTGTACACTTCCCTTTTTCCACATTCACGATGACTCAAAATAATCTGGAGGAATGATAGAGGAATTTTTGTAATCGTTGACTCGGAATGGCCTAATGGAATGGCTTGGCCGTCACTCTGAGTCGTCACAAGCATATCAAAAATAAGGGCGTTGGGATTTTATATTAATAATGATAAACTGCGACTTGTAACTTATTTTGTCATTATAGTTAACACATCCGAGTTAATACTTCGCCTTTGTTATTAGTTGCACCACATGAAATTAGTTTTCTTTATTAGTTACGGAATAGGCTATTGTTACATAAGGTTGTTTTTAAGCATGAGGCAAACGCAACACAATGAACTGTAGGAACCAATTAAATTCTATTACGACTAACATCTATCTAAAGACTTAGGGATATAACTTTGTAGATTTTTTACTTCATAAAGAAGTAAAAAAAATCTACAGAGGATTGTCAAAACGTCTGTCATAACTACTTACTGGAAAAATAGACTAGCGTTTCTATAAAAAAAAAAAAAATCACACTAATGGCAATAAAATCTACATAGAAACTCTAGTCTAGTCAAAAGTGATTTATTTCCCTGTACAAGTGTCCATCTAAATGTGGAGTCACAAACTACAGACATTCCACCATATTTATTTTATTTGTTTGTGAATAAGAAAATAATTCACCTGGTGAGTTTCCTCATTACAGTGGACGCTGGCAGACTCCCCGAGGCGCGTGAGCTCTCCTATTAACCAAATTTATTGCCCCACTTGAGTTATGGTGCCAGTGAGTGAGTGCAAATTATGCTCCTCTTGTATCCCGCTGTCCAGATGAGGAGAGAACTGACGGGGGAGGAAGAGGAGAAGAGCTCTAAGGAGAATGAGAAGTAGGAGAGAGAGAGAGAGAGAGAAGTGAGTGAGGGAGGGTAAGGGAGAGAAAATTTGGAGACGAGAGAAAAGGAAGTGGAAGGGTAAACAGTGAGATGGAGTTGAGGTGGCGGACAGGGAGTTGGGGGAGGGTAAGACTCTAGGAGGGGCTAGGTGCTGAGGGATGGGGGTTGATAGGAGGGGAGAGGTTAGAGTGAGAGAAACTGAAGGAGAAATGTAAGAAGGTTGGAGATGGATAGAGGAGGAGGTAGGTAGGAAGGAGAGATGCTGGACGTGAGTGAATGAGTGAGAGCATGAGACGATAACGGAAGAGTTTAAACAATACCACATGTTGATTTAAGTTGGATATCACGATTGCTCCAAGAATTTTAGGCACATGTTAATGATAAAAGCAGCATCTACATATTTCGCTCAAAACGTAGTTCTTGCTTAGAATTTACAAACTTCTTAATGACCACCATACCTTTAGTCATATTTTTTTCGAACATAAAATGGATTTGAAATGGGGACGACAATTGTTGACTTCCCTCTAGTAGTATTAGAAAATATCTACTAATATTTGACGAAGAATAGATCCCCTGGCAACATCCTCTATTTCCTGCATCTAATTATTGACAAAATAAGATGTATACATTTTTAATTCTTCCTCTTTTCTTCCTCCAATGTTTACTCTCTCCTCGCCAGACGTGAATGATAGTTGGTTGGTTCCTCGCTGGTACGTTTAATATCACACTTAACCGTGTTGACTGTGTCCCTTGACGTTTGTTGTCATAAATCATGGCTGGGGTGCCTTGTGCAGCGCCACTGGCCAAACATCGCCGCCTCATTATGATTCTCAGTGTTTGACTCCCTTCCTCTAATGTTTGGTACATGTGTTTGTGACAGTGAAGATGAGGCTGTGTTATTATATGGTTCTAGTCATCGTTTACTTCTCAATTATCCTTTATCTAACTGGTTCTTCTTTCTCTCGTACTCTCTGTGTGGGGCACGGATCTCCACAGCAGGACAATATAAATCGCATTTTACTGAATTCCCACATTGATATTTCGACAAGATCCTTTGGCCTACTCTTACAATGTTAACATCCAACTGAACTATAAATTTTTTGCCATAATCTCCATCCCCTTCTTAATATGAATTTTACTTACACACACACACACACACACACAAAAGAACGAGAAAAACCCATGCAAGTGGATAAAAGCAAGAATTCATTGAGCGCAAAGGAACTCTTTTGATGTTGTTTCGCAAATTTATATTTTGAATAAAAATCCTCAACTACATCTTATTCATCTGTCGTGCCTCAGTCAGCACCATGAGCATCTCTCCTGACTGAAGGACAGAATTCTTGTACGGCCCCAGTCCGATCACTCGGATGGGTCCTCACTGCACCCCTGGGATCACTCTCGATTATGCGACACTCCTTACGAGCGCTTATTGTTTCTTTGTCAACCTTCTTTCCAAATAAACTATGTCATTATAACCTTAAAACAATATCTAATAACTATGAAAATTACTATAGAATTTATATTGATTTATAGATGAATGAATCACACACACACACACACA